CCCAGGTATTCGCGGTCCCTCCTCCTGGGCCGCTGGGGAGGAGCTGAGATTCTGCCCCCAGAAGGCTCGGGAAATGGGTCAGACCAATAAGTGAATCAAATTAACTCCAGCTTCACTTTGACCTCCAGGCAAGAAAATTCATTCCCTATTAGGACACTCCGGTGAAGGACTTAAATTCGCAGTAATAATAAGCCAATGCCCACAAGAGGTACTCTATATTTGAATATTAATTGTGTCTCGTTACCCAGTTTCCCAGGGAGGTCGCCAATCCCAAGGTTGCATTGCGTTTAAAATTAGAGGCCAGAGGACCGTTACGCCAGCTTCTCTGCCCACGTGGCATCAGGAACTGCAGCTCAGAGCGCCACCTCCGTGGCTTGTCCTGCCTGTTGGAGGGATTCTCGCTGCCCCTTGGGGTCAGGGTTCATTCACACGGCAGCTCAGGAGTATATTGTGGCTGAAAGATTCATAACACACCAAACCCCCAATCTACCTCTTTTTTGAGGAAAAAAAATGTGTTTGGGCCTCACCCAGCAGGACTTGGGCCGACTCCTGGTTCTGTGCTCAGGAATCACTCCTGGTGGTACTTTAAGGGACCTTTTGTAATACATTTGAAAAGAAATGGTTGGAGCAATAGCACAGCGGGGAGGGCATTTGCCTTGCATGCAGCTGACCTCGGTTCGATTCCCACCATCCCATACGGTCCCCTGAGCACCGCCAGGAGTGATTCCTGAGTGCAGAGCCAGGAGGAACCCCTCAGCATAGCTGGGTGTGACCCAAAAGGGAAAAAAAATGGAATGGGAGTCACTGAAGTAGGGAAGAGCGTTGAGAAGGCCAGTGTGATCTGAAGCTGGAAGTTGGAGGAGATTAATAAAATCGGTAAATCTGTCAAAAAAGAGAAGACGCATAACTCGCCTCAGAACTCAAAGGCCGTCCGTCAGCACTGCCACAGCCCCACAGAGGCGAAAAGAACCACGAGGGCGAAAGCGATTCTTCGTGGCTCTGTGCTCGAATGGACAAGTCAGCTGATGGAGAAAATTTCCTTTAAAGACCCCAGACACCTACACAGAATCGAGATTAAGTAGAAAGACCTCCATAGCCTGTATTTTAGAGAAGGAATTCGTCGTTTAAAAAGATATGAGGGGCTGGAGCAACAGCACAGCGGGGAGGGCGTTTGCCTTGCACGCGGCTGACCCGGGTTCGATTCCCAGCATCCCATAGGGTCCCCCGGGCACCGCCAGGAGGAATTCCTGAGTGCATGAGCCAGGAGTAAACCCTGAGCATCGAGCATTGCTGGGTGTGACCCAAAAAGCAAAAAAATAAAAAATAAATAAAATATCTCCAGAGATTTTTCTGAAAATTTTACTTCACTGAAGTAAACCTCGTGGTTTCAGTGAAGTAAATTTAGCATTTGAGAAATTCAGAAAATAAAACAAAACAATTCTCTTTCAAAAAGTAGAGGAGGAGGGACTGGAGCAATAGCACAGCAGGGAGGGCATTTGCCTTGCACGCGGCCAACCCGGGTTCGATCCCCGGCATCCCATAGGGTCCCCCGAGCACCGCCAGGAGTCATTCCTGAGTGCAGAGCCAGGAGGAACCCCTGAGCATCGCCGGGTGTGACTCAAAAAGCAAAAAAATAAAATAAAATAAGAGGAGGAACTAAGTAGCCCATTTACAGAATGAAATGCCTCCTGCTGTCGGGAGGTCCACACAGAACCCTTTCCCAGGAACCGAGGGGCCCGAACTGGGATGAAATTATGAGCAGAGGGGGCTGGAGCCATAGCACAGCGGGGAGGGCATTTGCCTTGCACACGGCCGACCCAGGTTCGATTTCCAACATCCCACATGGTCCCCTGAGCACCGCCAGGAGTCATTCCTGAGTGTGTGAGCCAGGGGTAATCCCTGTGCATCGCTGGGTGTGACCCAAAAAGCACTGTAGCACTGTCCTCCCATTGTTCATCGATTTGCTCGAGCAGGCCCAGTAACGTCTCCATCGTGAGACTTGTTACTGTGTTTGGCATATCGGATATGCCACAGGGAGCTTGCCAGGCTTTGCTGCACAGGCAAAGTACTCACAGTAGCTTGCCAGGCTGTCCGAGAGGGGCTGAGGAATCCAACTCCAGTCGGCCGCATGGGCCGTGTGCAAGGCAAACGCCCTACCCGCTGTGCTATCGCTCTAGCCCAAAAAGCAAAGAAAAAGAAAAGAAAGAAATTCTGAGCAGAAATCCTCTTGGCTGTTGGCACACAGCACGCTGTACTGCTGGGATCGTGACCTGCCCCGGGAGCAGAAATGACCCCCTCAGCCGTGTCCTGACACTCCCCTGGCAGCAGGGCGTGGGGGGTCTGTCAGCTGCTAGAGAAGCGTCTGATGGGCGTTTTCGCCCTGTCTCAGCAACTGCGTGCAGCGAACTGCAGGTAGGAAGCCGTTTTCTCACCTTGATGACAGGCAACAATTCAAAACGTTCAGGGTTTGGCCGAGCGGCCGGGCAGGACTCCGGAGCTCGCCGTGCACGTGACTGAGCCAGACTAGAGACACATCCCTGTGTGGATGCAGGGCCAAGGCCCGGGGGTCAGGAGCAGCGGGTCCTGGAGATGTTGTTTGCCAGGAAGCAACTGTGACTTAAGGGATCTTGAGCACCGACGGGGTACGTGTGTCCACTTGGCTGGGCGCATCTATATACCTGATCACTCTTTCTCAAGTGCTAAAGAAACACTAAATTAAACACGAGGAAAACTGCCCCTTTGAGCAGCCCCACCCGCCACGAGCGAGGCGTTCTGGGGCCGTTTTTCACGGCATGTCGCTGGGCGGTGCTCCGAAAGCCGCAGAACCAGCGCGGAAGAGACCCGGGCGGAGCCCCGACTGTGTCCCCCCCGGGGCCCAGGTGCTCGCTGGCTCCCCGGGCCAAGTTAACCTCATGAGAGCGTGGCCGGGGCCGCGCGCTCCTGGATGCGGTGACTCACTCGTCGTGGCTCTCGGATCCGTTCCCGACATGTTAGGGAAAGAAAACAAACAGCTCGTCCGACTGATGGCGTGCCAGCCCGAGAAACCCCGCTCGCTTCCTGACCGGCCCCCGGCCCCAGACTCCCGCCGGCGCGTGGGGTGCTCCCGGGGGCTGCCCCCTCATGCCCGCAGCCCCTCGTCCCACCTCCACACGGGCCCCGGCAGCGTGTTAGCGGTGGGACAAGCGGCCGTGCAGACTTCTCGGGGGAGGGGACCTGGGATTTTCAGGAACTCTCGATTCTCCTGCCCCGCCGGCCTCTGTGCTGTTTTTAACAGCCGGTTTCCTTTCCGTCAAAGAAAACCCTGCGCTTCTCCTGAGCACCCTCCCTCCTCCTCCTCCAAAGATGAGCTGACGTGTTGGAGTTCTCGGGCGGCGGGAGGGGCACTGGTTTTCCTGCAAAAGCAGCTGCCCCCCCTTCCTGCTCCAGATGGTCGCTCCCCCGCCCCCGCCCAGGCCCTGCGTCCTCCATCCTGGCTCGGACCCAGTGCCCGCGCACCCCCTGAACCCAGTACTGACCACCGCGCCCTGGGCGGCCACGTCCTGCACACTCTCTCGACAGCAGGGTCTGGGGCCAGGCTGTGCGTGGTCCCCCCCCACCTCCCGTTACAGGCCCTGTCCCTGTGCGGGCCTCTCCCCTCTGCCTGCCAGGCCCCACCTGACACCCGCCACTCTCCACCCTGTGGAGACGTCTTCGTGTCACCGCCGTGCCCCATCCTGCGGCCAGGCATGAGGAAGCGTCAGGTGGGGCCACTCCAGCCTCTGTGGCCTCAGGCCCCTGCTGCCCCCAGGGCCACCCTCTGGGCTGTGCTTGTCAGGCTCGTTTGCCCGGGGCCAACACGCGTATAAAGCCAAGCACAAGGAAATTCCTAGGAAACTAAATCAGCACAATGACTTAGAAGCTTGTAGCCCTGTCCTCCCGCTGTTTGCTCGAGTGGGCCCAGTAACGTCTCCATTGTGAGGCTTGTTGTGACTGTGTTTGGCATCTCGAATACGCCACGGGGAGCTTGCCAGGCTCTGCCGTGCGGGCAAGAGAGATACTCTCAGTAGCTTGCTGGGCTCTCCCAGAGGGTCAGAAGAATCGAACCCGGCTCAGCTCGGCGGGGTCAGCCACGTGCAAGGCCAACACCCTCCCACTATGCTACCGCTCCTAGTTAACTGCAGAACTGTGCAGACAGCCTGATTCTGAACGGTTCAGCACCCACCCGCCTGCCTCTTTCCCCACTGCCTGTGGGCTGTCGGCAAATCAGCTCCCAGATGTTGCCATTTTGAGAAACTGAGTCAAGGGCTGGAGAGAGAGTGCAGCACGCAGGGCACTCGCCATGCCCGTGATGACCCGGATTTGAGTCCTGGCACCCCCATGTGGTCCCCAGAGCCCTGCCAGGAGTCAGCCCCGAGCACCACCAGGTGTGACCCCAAAGGTAAAGATAAAGGCCCTCCCGTTGATCGTCGATTTGCTCGAGCGGGCCCAGTAACGTCTCCTTTGGAGACTTTGTTGTTACTGTGTCTGGCATATCGGATACTCTCGGTAGCTTGCCGGGCTCAGGGGAGATACCATGATCACGAAGGTGACCCCAAAACACAACAAAAACAATCGAGTCCGAGTGTAGAGGCTTTCAGTCTCGGGGCGATGTTCCAGCGGGGAGGGCGCCTGCCTTGCACGCGGCCAGCCTGGGCTCCATCCTCGGCCCCCCCACGGGTCCCTGAGCACCACCGGATGGGGGTCCTCAAAACAAAAAGAACTTACTCCCTGGTGCCATGCAGAGTGTCAGAAGCCCATACTCAGCGCCTCGTGTGTGTGGGGGCGTGTGGGTGTGTTTGTGTGGGGTGGTGTGTGTCTGTGTCTGTGTCTGTGTCTGTTGGAGACACTGGCAGCATGCTGGGGCATTTCCCACAACCGCAGACTATCCTGGGGGCGGCGGCCGATGGCACCGAGGGGCACGCGTGCGCCCTGCTGCCGGCTTTCCGGTGTGGTGACCTTGTCTCTCCTTCTTCCCTACCCAGGTGAACGAGCTGGACGGTATCCCCCTCATCCTGGACAGCTGCAAGCTGGACGACCACAACCCCTGTATCCTTGCACGGCCGTGAGCGCGCGCTGCACCCGGCCTCCCGCGGGGCCAGCAGCGCCCGTCGAGAGCGCGTTGGCGAGGCTGTCCCCTTGCTTGGTTCCGAGCGGCTGCAGGACCCTGGGGAGTCCTTGGAGGAAGTGCGAGGCCGCCCGTGGGCTCCTAGAAGGTGTTTCACCCGTCAAGCCCAGGGCCGAGTCCATGAGGCTGGAGTGTCCGTTGCGTGGGGCCGCCGGGCAGGGAGCTGGTCTGCTTCCGTGCCGTGTGTCCGGGGGCCTGTCAGCTCTCGAGGACTTCCCGGGGAGCCACGGGCCCGTGGCCTCTGGTGCAGAGCGCCAGGCCGAGGTCCCGGCCGCCCGGGCTTTCGTGTGCATTTTTGTGCCCGTTTCTGGCAGGCGTTGGGATCGGGTTTGTTCTGGCCTTTCCCGCGTCTCTGCTGCCGGTCCTGGCTTCCGGCTTTGGCCCAAAGGCCTCTCAGAGCTGCGTTTCTCCACTTGCGGTCGGCGGGAGGCTCCTGGCAGTCCTCGGGGGCCCGGGCCCTCCCCGGCCCCTGCTCCCCAGCCTGTCTTCGTAGCCCCCTGGCCGGGAGGTGGCTCGTGGCTCTGTCCCGCTGTACGGATTCTCTGCTTGGGCGTCGTCCCAGAGAGAGGTTTGGGGGCCTCGCGCTGGGCGTTGGGAGGCGTCAGACACACCCTCCTTGGGCGCTTTCCTCACACGAAGTGCATGGCCGCTCCCTTCAGAGTCACCCTCTGCTTCCAGAAACACTTCTGTGCCCGAAAGTCGTCTTGTAATTTGGATGTGATTTGGCATGTGCTGTTGTCTGGGCTGTATCCAGCAGTGCTGGGGCCTGGGGGGGTGGGGGGGGGTGTGGGGGCGTGCTGATGGGGACCGACCCCAGGACCCCGCACACAGCAGTGATGTGCCTTCTTCACGATCGGGCTGGTTGCCACCGGTGACACCAGTGGCGTCACCTTTTTAGTTTATTTCAGCCTTTCTGTATCAGACTTTCTTACAAACAGCATGCAGTTAGGTTTTTTGGGTTTTTTTTTTCTCTCTTTTGAGGTTTTCTTGGATTTTGTGTTTCTTTCGGGGGTGGGGTGCGTATCTGGTGGGACTCGGGGCTGGCTCCTGGCTCTGCACTCGGGGATCACTCCTGGCGGGCTTGGGGACCAGATGGTGTGCTGGGAATCTAACCCAGGTTGCCATGGGTTGCAAGCAAGCCCCTATGTGTGCCATATTCTTACTCCGGCACGCTAAAATAATGTATTTTTAACGGAACTCACAGATGGGTTGATGCCGAAGCCCCCCTCCTCCGTTTGACCTTCCTTCCTTTTTTTTTTTCCTCTCGTCTCTTTCCAATTTATGGGCTGCGTTATTTTGAAGAGCTTGTTGAATTCTCTCCTGGCTTTGTTCTGTGAAAGCTTCCGGAAATCGAGTCTCCTGTCTCCCAGCCCGGCCCCTGCCCCGTCACACGTCCCCCGCTGTGTCCCCGTGTCCCTCAGAACCCACGGCCGCTCCTGTCGTTCTGGGAAGGCCGCATCACACCGCCTCCCCCCACCACCCCGACAGCATCTAGAGGGACCCTCAGCCTCCAGTTTGGGGGGACTCGCGGAGTCTGTCTGGAGGCACCGGGCGGGGCCCCTCCCCTCGGCCCCTGCCTGCCCTCCCGCACACCTGGCCATGTCCTCACGGGGCGGCCAGTCCCTGTGCGGTCAGCCCATGCTGGAGCCTGCTCTTCCTCCCCTCCCCCCACCCCCCACTGAGCTCTGTCTGGCGGGCCGTGAGTGGGCTGGAGGGGTGGGTCAGGAGGGTCTGGGGGTCCCGTGAGTTCCTGACTCCTGCTGGAACCACAGAGGCTTGGCCACCCGTGTCCATGTTCTGGGCGTGCCCCTTGCCTGGTCCCCATCCTGGGGCATGCATCCCAGTGTGCCGAGGGCCCCGAGGCAAGTCCAGTCCGAGGGACGGGCCTAGCGTCCGAAGCCCGCGGGGATTTCCAGCTGGGGGGACACAAGCTGTCAGAGGGCGGCCCGGCCCACCACGCCCACACGGCGACAGCGTCACCGGCCTCGGAAAATTCCAGCCCCGCGACCACAAGGTCCCGTTGTCGTTCGCAGGCTGCGGCGAGGGGAGTTCTGGTGTTGTTTCCAAATAGAAACAGCTGAACCGTATTTGAAATGTTTTCCTTTCGTTCTTTTTTGATCTGTGTTTTGATCACTCGTCCTTGATGTGGGTTGTTTTCTGGTTTTGTTTTTTTTATTTTTTTTAAACATTGTTTTTATTGCAGGGGGAGGCGTGGGGGGGTAGCATGAGACTCCAGAGTTCTTCAAAAATTTCTCTGTTCTTTTTTTTTTTTCCCCCTACCTTCTCTTCCCTTCTCCTCCCTCCCCTCATCCCTCCTTTCCTTTCTTCTGGAATCTTCTTCCTCAGGCACATTTATTTCCCTGCGTGACCTTAAATAGCTCTTAAACAAAGACTGCGTCTAAACGAGGGCGGCGTGCCCGTGCTGTTGTCACGTGTGTTGTCACGTGTGCGTGCTTAGCCGGCCGGCAACCTCGTGGGCCCTGTGTGGTTGGCACGTGCCTTGTCACGTGTGTTCAGTCCTGCCTGGCCTCTGGGCCCGCGTGGACGCGCCTTCCTTGGCCTCTCTCCTTCTCCCTCGTTGTCCGGTGTCGCCCTCAGCAGCTCAGGGCTCGGCGGCTGACGGCCTCGGGGCCCCTGGGCTCTGCGCTGAGATGACCGACGGGGCCGCCCGGTGCGCAGCGGCCCCTGACGCTGAGAGAAGCTAGAAGAGCCCCCGGCAGCCCGACTGGTTTGTCTGCGGCTTCCCGGGGTCTCCCTCAGTTTTTCTCAAGACCTTGATTCTTAACCCACGCCCCCCCCAACACGTACGCTCACACACACACACACACACACACACACTCACAGACACACAACCGAGATGAAGACGCGAGGGGCCGGAGCGATAGGACAGAGGGAAGGGCATTCACTTCGCACGCGGCTGTCCCGGATTCGATTCCCAGCATCCCATATGGTCCCCCGCACACCGCCAGGAGTGGTTCCTGAGTTCAGAGCCAGGAGGAACCCCTGAGCATCACCGGGTGTGAGGGGGGAAAAAAAAAGATGCAAGCCAGTGCACAAAATCGCATGGGTTCCAGAAGGCGCCACTCGCCGGCGGGGCCAGGAGGGCCCCTCACGCCAGCGCCCCACCCCGAGGCTTGCAAAGCCCCCTCTGAGCAGCCCCGTCAGAGTGACAGCCAAGAAGACTTGGGTGCGAGCTTCTGGGCTCCCCGGCAGCCATCGCCTGGGCCAGGAGTGAAGGTCGGAGGGTGTTTCGCCCAAGTTTGTTCCTGTGCCCGCGACTGAGGGGGCTTTTGCCCGGCCGGTACGTGGCCCCTCGCTAGAGCCACAAAGCCAGGATCGATCCACAGCATCACGGACAGCAGAACGGTGTCACCCGCGCTGTCCGTCCGGGTTCGCAGCTGGGAGCTGCCCGGGCACCGGACTGCCTTAGAGTCTGACGCTGCGAGAAACCCACCAGCCTCTCGATCCTTGTCGAATCTTTTTCTCCCGCCGTCAAGACGCTTCTCAAGTCCCCGCCCTGGCACTCGTAGGCTTGCTGCCCTTTAGGGGAAGGGACCGGGAGTTCCCACACCCCCAGCCCCGTGCAGCCTGTCCTGCTGCCCTGACACGTTGTCCCTGCCCTCCCCGGTGCCAGGCTCGAGGTTGGCTTCCAACCTCTGTCCAGTCCTTCCTGTGCATTTAGGCAGTGCCTGATGGCCCCACGGGCACCGCCAACTCGCACTCTGACCGAGCCGTCCCCTCCCTCTGTTCTGTCCCTTCCCAATTGGCTGCTTGTACAAGCTCTGGGCATCGCGTCTCCCGCCAGGTCTCTCGGTGTCCCCAGGCCTCCTGTGGCCTGAGATCTCGGCTCCTTTTAGCCTTGATCCAGATACTTCGGCCTCCTATCAGGGGTCCTTGTGGCAGCACAAGAGTCCGCGCGCGCACACACACACACACACACACACACACACACACACACTACCGAGCCCCCCCACCCCCGGTCTCCCCTGGACATTTGGCAGGTGGTTGGGCCTTTGGCCCCCCGAGGTGACTTGGCGGGTGTCAGCGGCTCAGTGCCCGGGGAAGGAGATGAGCCCTCGGCCTTCGCCGTAAGAGGTTTTGTTGTCCAGAAAGAATCTCAGGAACTCGCCTGAGACGCTTGTGAACACGCGTGGGCCCTCGACCCAGTCCTTCCCCACGGGGGGGGGGGGGCGGGGGGGGGAGAGCATATCCTGGAAGAAAGGAAATCCCGTCCGGGAGTGTTCAGCGGAGGATCGGGGCTGTCTCTCGTCACGGTCACGTGGGCACCTCGTGGCACCATCAGACACGCGGTGCAGGCTGTGTGTGGCGTGTTGGGGAACGTCGGGGAATCTGTCGCCTGCGGAAGTGGCCCCGAGCGAAGCCACGGCAGGTCCTGGTGCTTCTGACGGCGTCTGCCAGGGACATTTCACCTCCCGGGCCTGGGGCTGGCGCTCCGAGTCCCGGCCCCTCTCCCGGGTGGCTCTGCCACCAGGGCTGTCATCCTGGATGTTTCAGAGACCTGGAGGCGGCGCCTGGTGTTCCTGGAGGGGGGTCCTTCCCCCTTCCCCCACTCTGAGGCCTCGTCCTGGAACCAGCCCGCCTCCTGCGCGGCCTCGCGGCTCTCGGGGTACAGCTGCCTGCCGCCTTCTCGGAGAGAGCCGTGACAGAGCTTCCTGGGGGGGGGGGGGCGGCAGGCACCCCCCCGACCCCCGTGTCCCCGCTCCCGGCCTCTCGGGCAGCATGGTGCCCACCAGGCTCAGGCCTCCCGCGTGGTCGCTGTGGAAACTGAGGAAGCCGAGCGCCCCGCCAGGCTGAGCAGACAGAGCGGCACTTGACGGTGGGAGATGTTTGATTTTCTCCCTCCTTGAGTCTGTCCTGAGAGCGGAGCCGGGCCCGTGTGAACATTAACCAGGACTCGCTTTCATCTCCGCTGGGGTGATGGGAGCCGCCCCCCCCCACACACACACACACACACACACAACCCCCGTTCCTGGGAGCCGTGCTCTCCAGAGCTGCTCCTCTCGGCCTGGCCCGCAGCTCGGGAACCCCGAGGGGCAGCGGGAGCCTCTGAGAGGGCTCCCGGCACACACGGGACAGCGGCAGGTGCCGGCGGCCACCCGGGGACAACCCATCTGCCGCACATCCTCACACTCACCACACGCACACGCCCTACATACTGTCACACCTCTCACACATCCACTCTCACATTCTCATTGATGCACAGATGCACACTCACCGCACGCACAAATTCTGACGTGCACAAACTCTTGCGTACACATCCCCTCATGTTCTGTGTCACATTTCACACACACGCATTCTCTCTCTCTTTCTCTCACACACACATACACACACTCACTAATAGACACAGTTCCCACACAAAGGTGTACACCCTCACCACACACACAGAAACACACAAATTCTCTCACCTACACTCACACGTTCTCACGCTCACGTTCCCACACACAGATGTCCATACCTCACACATCCTGTGTATCCCGCATACACGTGTTCCCTTCCATGCACACACACACAGACTCACACATTCCCCTACACACACATACACTCACCCCACACACTCAGGCGCACACACATACTTCTCACACAGCGTGTCACATTTCTCACACGTGTTCCCTCGCACATCACGCACATGTGCCGTCTTGCCTGCCTCTCCACACACTCCCCACGCGCATAACGCGTCCGTTCTCTCTCTCTCACACGCATCCCCACACGAGATGCGCGTTTTGCCCTTCGCGTCCTGTCTCTGGGCGGAGCCAACCTCCCCCTCTGGCTCGGGCCCGGCTCCCCCGCCCGAGACGACCCTGAATTCTCGGCAAACTCGTCTTGCTCCCGGCGCCCCTTGCACAGATGCCTCCGACTGCCGGGATGACGGGGAAGTGGGTTTGTCCAGGAGACGCTGCCCAGAGGCCACGTGGTGTCGCCCACCTGCCCTGCGTGGGCGCGTCCGGCAGGGCGCTCGCTCCGTGCGGGCTCCGCGGACAGCCTGGGTGCGACCCATCAGGACGGGGCCTGGAGGGCACGGAGGCGGGTGGCGCCCGTCACTTGGGCCCGGGGAGGCTGGCGGGCAGGAGTGCCCGGGAGAAGTGGCAGGCGGGCAGGGAAGGCCTGTGGCCCGTCTGCCCTACACCGAGGTCACTGCTCGTGGAGTGAGCGGGTGACCCAGTGCTCGGGAACTCTGGTCCCCGCTGCCTGCTGTGAGGCATCCCTGAAGGGCAGGGCAGGGCTGTGCTGCTCCCCATGGCCACCCCAGCGTGAGACATGAGCGTGCGGTGGTGACGTCCCCAGAGGAGGGACCTGTCACAGCCGGTGACTCACTCCTGCTCGAGTCGGTCAGTGCGGGGGCGTCTGTCCCTGCAGCGGCACCGAGTGTGGGGTGCGGGGCTGTGGACAGCGGGGGTGGGGGGGACTGCCCAGACCCGACGCCAGGATGACAGCAGAAGTCACAGGACAAGGGCCCTCCCGGGAGGTCGCTCCTGTGGTCTGGGTGACCGCCCCAAGGTAGCCCATGTGGCTCCCTCAACGCCGGGGGCAGAGTCTAGGGGACGGGTTAAGGCCTGTGAGGAGGGAGCACCGGGGCCACCTGGGGGCTGGGCAGGGACGAGGCAGGAGCAGCCCCCAGCCCTCACGTGCTCGTGTCAGCGTGGGCGCCACAGACTGGGGGTGCACGGCTTCCCTTGGGGGTCCCTGGAGTCAGAAGTCAGAGCTCCACGTCTGGGGAGTCCAGAGGGTCCTCCCGCGGCGCTGTCACCTCTGCAGGGGCTGGGCTGGCTCCTGGCCCGGCGCCTTTTCCCTGACGGGGGTCTCGGTCATGCCTCAGGTCCCTTGGGATCAGGGGTCCTGGTTGCATCACCTGTGGGCGGCCCAGCTCCCTCGAGAAGGGCATGGAGCAGCGTTCGGTGCTGTCCCGGGCCCCGGTGGCTCTCGGGGAAGCCCCAGTCAGTGGTCCAGGGAGGGGGGAGGGCCAGGGGAGGCCGGGCCTGGACCCCCAGCAGCGCCTTGTGCTCTGGGGAGGGGCTTCCTTCAGCTTCATTTACCGGTTTGGGCCACGCCCGGAGGTGCTCAGGGCTCACTCCAGACTCTGCTCTTGGGGGGAGGGGGGGAACATTGACTGGTGTCACTGCCGCCCTAGGACAAGGGGACTCAGCCTCTCTGTGACTCGTTCCATGGTGCTCTCGCTCCCTCCCTGGTCACTCAATGACATGGTGCTGCCGCGTGGGCTCCTGCCTTCCCGTGTGCCTCCTTGTTTATTCATGGGGTTAAATCAATGAGTGTGCGCCCCCCCCTTCTCCTCCCCCACCCCCAGAGCGGCTCCCCTTGGAGGGCCCAGGGATGGGGGGGCAGGGCCCGGAGTTGGGGGCGGGGCTGCCGAGGTTGTGGCGCTTCCTTGACCCCTGCAGTCCTCACCCAGTGGGCCGTCTACGCCATCCGGAACCTGACGGAGGGCAACAGCCGGAACCAGGACCTCATCGCCAAGCTGGAGGAGCAGGGCCTGGCCGACACGTCGGTGCTGAAGAAGATGGGCTTCGAGGTGGAGAAGCGGGGCGACAAGCTGATCCTGAAGCCCACGGGCGACTCCCCCGACGGGTGCGTGGGGCGAGGGGGGCCCCCCGTGGGAGCCTCTGGGCCCAAGGCCACGGGGACGCGATCCTCCCTCGGGGATGCAGAACACCGGCCTCGAGGAGCTCACCCCGGCTCCGTGCTTGGTCGGACCATGGGCCAGTCTGGGCTGGGGGTGTTTTTTGTTTTTTTGTTTTTTCCTTGTTTTCTCTTTTGTTCGTTTGGCTTGGGGCCACACCTGGCAGTGCTCGCGGCTTACTCCCGACTCTGTGCTCCTGGGGGATCGCTCCTGGTGGGCTCGGGGTGCTGGGCGGGGGTTGAAGCGGCCTCTGTGTTTGCTCTCGGTGGAACTGCATCGCCTGCAACATTGTTTCTTTCTCCTTCTCAGTGACTGAGCTCTCCTGCCACACGCCTGCGACTGGGCCCCGTCAGTCATCTCGTGCTGTCTGAAAATCGCGGCGGTGTCGGAAGGCCTCCGAGCACCAGTCGAGAGAGAGAGAGACCAGAGCTTCTAGGTGGTAGCTAGCAGCCGCGCGCGCGGCCGCGTCAGAGCGAAGGCCCGTCGTGACCCGTTGCGTTTTGCTTTCAAGCCGTCCCTGTCTGCTTGCCTCTGTCCCTGTGGACGCCACCCTGCGTGTCAGTGATGTGTTGTACTTGCTGTGCCAGCGAACAATAAAGTCTCGGCCGTAGGCGCGCCCCCCCCTTGCTCAGTGAGGTCGACGCCCCCGGGCCCCGCACGTCCCTCCTGTGTCCGCTCCCCGTGGGCCCCGGCCGCTCCCTCTCGCCCCTCCGATGCCTTTCCACGACGTTGCCGGGACTCGTTTCCGGTGAACTGATTCGAGAGGCGCTGTGGGTCCCCCGTGTGTCGCTGTGTCCTGCCCCTCTGGAACCTGGCACAGATCCAGGCCGTTAACTCTTCTCATTCCAGAGCGCCGGAGACCGCTATCGACATGCCCTGTGCCGTGCTTTGCTATGTGTCTGTCCAACCCCCCCGCCCCGCCACTGACCGTCCGGCCCGCGGGCACACTCTGCCAGGCGTCTGTGCCCTCCTTCCCCCGACCACCCGGCCCCGTGCTCACTCTGGCCTCGGGAGCGTCTGCTTTGGGACTTCAGGCCTGGCCCTCACACAGCCACGGTGCTGCAGCGCTGAATTGGCCGGCGGCACAGCTTGTGTGGCAGAGCCCAGTCCAGTGGCGCTCAGACGGGAGCCCAGGTGCCTGGGCTGGGCGCGTGCCCCCAGCACAGAGCCCGGGGCCTGGCGTCCTGGGCAGCGTCCAGCCCTGCCCTTCCGGGCTGCAGGGGGTCAAGCCCTCGGCCCTGGCTTGGAACCCTCCTCCTTCCCAGGGGGCACGGGCAGCGTTCTGCCCACCACCCCAACGTGGATCTGCACCCCGGGGGGTCACACCAGGACGGTGGGGAGAGGCCAGAACGCAACCAGGGCCAGGAGCCAGGCGAGGCTCCAGGTGGTCTCCGGGGAAGCCGGGATGGCCCTGGAGACCAGCAGCGGCTGCACTGGCCACTGGGGCTGCACCGCTTCCCTCCTGCCCCCGCTGGCCCTGTTAGGACCGGCCCAGGCCCCCCTCAGAAGGGACACGGTCCGGCCACCAGCGTGGAACGGGACCGTCGGGCACAACCAGAGCAGTTGCTGTCCTGCCGCGGGAAGAGGCCTCGGGCTGTGACTCCGTGTCCAGCTGTTTCCCGGGGTCTTTCTTTTCCTGCCTTAACGGTGGGTCAAGACTTGAAAACTACTCCCACCGTCGCGTGGTATTTCCCTTTTTTTTCCCCCGAGTGTGAGAGGGGGCAGAGGAGGCCACTTTGGGCCCCGCCGAGCTCTGTGCCCAAGACTGGCCCCCGGCAGGCCACAGGGGACATGGTCTGCAGTTGCCGAAGGTTGAGCCAGAGTTGGCGGCGTGCAGGTGCCTTCCTGCCTGTCCACGTGCTCCAGCCCCCGTTTTGCAGTGGGATTTGGCCGTATTGAGGGCTTAGGGTACTGCATCTCAAGGGGAGGGCAGGGGTGGGACGCTAGCACACAGATGCGTGTTATGTGTTATTCACTGACTTGGGACGTGGGAACCAGGGAGTGGATGTTTGCTTTGCAAGAAGGAAATGAAATCTTTGGGGCTACCTGTTAGCCGATTACAAATCGGAGTCTGGTATTTTGCGAATTGCATCCTGTCTGTTCCAGGTTCCAGAGCTTATCGGGCCCACTGCCCCCCCCCCCCAAAAAAAGTCTGCATTCTTTTTAAGTAGCCAGCGAGGAAACATCACCCCTAGTTGCACCCGGGCTTCTGGAACCCCCGGGTTGCCCCAGCAACCCCCCCCCAGGGGCTGTTCCACTCAGGGACAGACTGGTCCATTCTCTTGACTGCGTTGACATCCAGAATTTAGATGCCATTTAAATGAATGTTTGCTGTTCTTTCGTTTCTATCCTTGATGAAAAAGCAGGTGTCAGGACAAAAAACACAGTCCCTGCGGAGACTTTTTGAAAAATGAAAAAAAAAATCCAAATTCCACCATCAGTTAAGTTCTGCTCGTGGAGGAGTCCAGTCTTAACCTGAGAGGCAGAATCCTGATGCTCAGAGAAGTTGAAGAAGGGGCCCTTGAAGGTGGGGCGCAGGCACCTCGCCAGAGGAAAAGGCCCTCGGCGCTGTCCATGGTTCTGGCCAGGCAGCCCACGAAAACCTTGTCTCCAAAACACCCGCCTTTGCCCCCGGGGTTGGAGACCTCGAGGCTGTTTCTGTCTCCCTGGCATTTCCCCGGGTGCCCGAGGAGGAGCCGTTGGGAGTAGCGGTGATTGTCTTCTCTGCAGACGCGGGGATGGTCCTCAGCGGGCTCCTGGTGTAAAGGCAGCTCTGCCTGTGCCCGGCGGTGGGCACCTGCAGCCTGGCGCGCACACGTGCAGCTGCGCCTCCCTGCTGTTGGCTGATGACACACGTTCCCCTCGCTCCAGGCTCACCGTGCCCCCTTGGCATGAGCGTCACCTAGGTGAGGGGTCAGCACCCGAGGAGTGTCCGTTCCCATCCCGAGGGTAGTGGTGAAAAGGGTGCCCTGGAGCCGAAGAGACGGAACGGGGCCTCAGGCACTGCCCTGTGTGCCTCCCACCCCCCGTTCCAACCCAGCACCCCCTCCCGCCCCCTGAGCCCACCCAGAAGAGATGCTGGGACAGAGCTGGGCATCGCCCAGAATCCAGAAAACAGTGTCCACTGCTGTGCTGGGGACACGCGCACACACAGAGACACCCCACTCACATACACACCCTGCCATGACACACACCGTTACCACACATACACACACACACCCCGACCACATCTCCCATGACTTGGGTGTGTCTCCCGTAAGTGACCCAGGTCCTTTCTCTTATTGCTCCAATGGGACTTGCATCAGCGGCTTCCCGGGACAGTTGGCAGATGGGAAGTGACACGCTTGTGGGTGGCGGGCCCCAGCCAGGCCTGGGGAGGAGCAGCCCTCCGAGGCCCCTGGGGCCGTCTTCATCCTGCGGTGGCCAGGGGCGGGCGTTCGTGTTCGCGGACGCCTCCGTCCCTGCACCACGTGCTTGGACGGTGCTTCCCAAGCGCCAGGCAGCGTCCTCGTAAGCACTTTCGAAATGCCAGCTATGCGGTCCCCATGGCAACCGGGCGGTGGGCTGGAGTGCTAATCCCATTACACGGATGAGGAGGCTGAGGCGGGGTGGATTCCTCAGGGCACGCAGCAGTGGCTCTGTCCTTACCGGGGCTCGCACGGCAGGAGCGGCGGCTTCCCCTGAAGCCCGGAGGAGACGGGCCCGGGTCGGGGTTCGGGTCTCATCTCCCTTCTTGCGGGCTCCCTGACTTGGGCGGCCTCAGGCCCGGCGCCCGAGTTCCCAGGGGGCGGACAACAGAACCTCCGTGGAACAAAGGCGCCAACGCGGGATGGTCACCCATGCCAGGAGGGAAGTGAACACAGCAGGGCGATGACTGAGGGCAGGGTCGGCCCCCGGGCGACCCTGCTGGGCGTGGCCCCCAAACAGGGTCGGGTCCTTCTGCCAAGGCCTGGACACAGTGGGTGCCCCAGGATCGAAGCCCGAGGCCTGTCCAGGGCCCCACAGTCTTGGAAAGAGAATAAAAACTGAGCTCCTCGGCGTGACGGCGGAAAACACCTTGGCTGGCGGGCCTTAGCGAGAACCCGCCCGGGGGGTTGGGCAGTGGCGTGCGGAAACCAGTGGCAGCAGCACCTGCCCTCGGTGTCCGGCTGAGAGCGGGGAGCACAGCAAGGCCAGTGGCAGAGGGTCTCCAGCCAGTGGGCAGGCGGGGGCACGTGCGTGCTGGGGAGCTGCAGCGTTAGGCGACACTTTGTCCCTTTTTCTGGGGCAAGAGGGAATTGAGGAAACCGAGGCTCAGGCCCTGTGGCAGTGGCCGGGCCCAGGCTGGACTCGGGTCATGGGTGCCCGCCTCACACCAGCCCCAGAGACTTGTTTTTTGGGGGAGTCAGCTGGGGGTGCTGGAGACCTCAGGTTCCTCTTTCATGTTGTTTGTTTTAGGGGGGCCCAGGCAGGGGCCGACTGCTCGGCCCGGGGTGCAGAGCTGTGGCAGGGAACCCCCCCCCCCCAGACTGTTGCGTGAAGATCAGACACTTTCTGGCCCGGGTGAAGTCGGGGCCCCTGAGCTCAGCCCACCCTCAGATTCCTTGTTTTGAAAAGCCCAAGTGGGCCCCAAGTGAAATGAAACGTATCCAGTCATTTCAATGATCTCCACGGCGTCACAGAGAGAATCTCAGGGAACTGTGCTCCTCAACAGGGTCTAGGGGCAGTCTGGGGCCCAGCATGAACTGGAGCAGAGCCCTCGCCCCTGAGGTCAATTTCCTGATTTTTTGGGGGGGGTGGGGGAGTCACACCTGGCAGTGCACAGGGGTTCCTCCTGACTCGTGCACTCAGGAATCACTCCTGGCGGTGCTCGGGGGACCCTGTGGGATGCTGGGAATCGAACCCGGGTCGGCCGCGTGCAAGGCCGTTGTCTGCTTGGCCCTTGGCCCTGAGCTGATGGGGGTGGGGGGGCACCCTTCAATTCCTATCCCCTCTGTCCCGCTCAAGGCCTGTCCAGCCTCCTGCCGAGGGCCAGGGCGCATTACGCAGATGGGCGCCCCATGGGGCTCTGATGGGTGCTGATGGCCAGCGAGGCTGCAGGAAGCCTCCCGCCTGGCGCTGGGGGTGAGGGCAGGGTCCGGGCTGGCACGGGGGCGGCGGGGACCATGGGGACAGAAAACAGGCCCCTACCCACTGGGCAAGCACCCACCCACCCCCCCGCCCCGGGGATCCCAGCAGTGAGATCTCTGCAGTCTGCCGGTGGGAGTACCCCACTGGCCATGGCCCCTCCTGCAACCCCCCCAGCAGAAATCAGGCTCCGTCCCCTGGGCCCACCAGGAGCCAGTGGCCACCCAGAGGGGTCCTGAGTGGCTGGAGGCTGTGCCCATCCTCAGCCAAACGCCCTGACCTCTGCATCTCCAGGTCCGGGGCCCTGTGACCCCTCAGAGGGCAGAGGGCCTGAGGCTAGGGTCTCAGAACCCCCGCGGGGCCCTCGATTTCCCCAGGGAGCCATGGGTGGGGGTGAGGTGCCCCCAGGACCCCCCACTTCCAGCCGACCCCCTTCCCTGCCTGTGCTGGCCGCCGGGACCTGGCAGGGCTCTGCAGACGCTATCAGGAGCGCCTCGTCTGAGACC